CCGAAGGCATTGAGATTTTTGAAGCTTCTGAAGGTCGCGCACTTGTGGCAGGCGGCCAGGTCGAGTGGTGTCTATTTTTTTAAATTTTTTTTTATCTATGTACACTTTGAAGGTCATTCACGGGAATAGTAAGTTTAAAACGGTGAGTATACCGTTCACCGACACTCGGAAGCTCTCCAGGGACCCAACTGCCCCCCCCCCCTCCCCCTTCACTCAGTGAATCGGAAGGGCATTTTAAGTTAATTCAAGCTCCCGAAGACTTCTTTTGACAGTGAAACGGCTTCCAGCTTTTTGAAGACCCCGAAGGCCGCATACTTGCGACGGGAGGCCAGCTTGACGAATTTTTCCTACGAGGGTCATTTACAACAATTTATTTGCTAAAGACGGCGAACGTCAAAATCGCTATTTTTCCAGGGTCTTTTTCCCAACGGCCAGGTTTACGCTGGGGGCTTATCCTTCAGGCTCGGCCCCAAATGACCGGCTTTTGTGGCGATGGCTCGAAAATCTGACTGAATGAAAACGGAGAGGCAGCCACAAAACAGCAGGTGCCAAATGCCCTGTAAAAACCAAAATCAATAAACGCAAAAAAAAAAAAAAAAAAAAGTTTGAGGTAGATTCGGGGAGCCGTGCTACCTCATTTGTAAATAAGGGGGAGCCGTCGCTCCCCCTGCACCCCCTGTTCCGGCGCCCCTGGCGCTAGTGCTGCAAAGCAAATCCCAAAGTTTTAGCACTAAAGGTCTGTTCACAAAAGGGCGTTTGCTTACGATTTCTCACGTTATGGAGGAGTCACGGGGACACTCATGGTTCGTATGTCGCGTGTGAAGCCACTCCTTGGACGGTCACATGCTCACTTGATGCACGGATGCCCCGGTTACTTGCGACATAAGCGGCCGTAACGCAATGTAACAGAAAAACGCCCTTGTGTGAACCTACCTTAACCGTTACTTTGTTCAACAGTTATACGGTATTTTTCTTTTTTAGTTTTTAAGGGGAAAAGATGTTGCAGATGGGCTCTCTAATATATCTGACGGTGCCAATTAGCGAAAACGGGCGAAAATGGGCCCCATTTTCACATTGGAAGTTTAAGAAAATCATGTAACTTTTGAATAACGTAGCGGTTAGTGCTGAAACTTTGTCAGTTGGTTTGGATCGCCAGCGATTCATTTTGGTGGAGAATAAACGTTTTGCGATGCGGAGTTGATTTTTGTGGTGAAAATAGTCTAAGCTCATTATAACAGACCTGGTTACAACAGACATTTGGATATAACATACCGGTTCCTTTATATAATGTTTCTTCAGCAGGTACCCCCACCTTGTGTAGTGCCCGTAAGGGCCTTCAAGGTTTAATAAATGATGATGATGATGATGATTTGTGAAGTTCTGTTCATTTTCCTCTATGCACCATTGACTCAACTTCATATCTGCATACAATATACTCCTTTTACAACAGATCAGAGTCTTGGTCAAAATCAAGGTCTGTTATAACGAGCTTAGACTGTAAGTAAACATTTCAGCTTCCTCGTGATATCAAGGTAATTAAAATATCTTCAGTAGTCCTCGCGTAAGAACTTGCAAAACTTTGCCGAAAATCCCAAACGAGAGATTGTTACCCATTTTGTTCTATTATCTTAAAATACAATTTTTTTTTTCTTTACTTAACATAATGAAATCTATTTTGCAAGTGTCAGAGAAGAGTCCTAGTGCATTTCTTGAGAAGTGACAAAATAGCGAGCAGTCAAACTTGTGATCCCTGACAGGTTGGAAAAATGTCAGTTCTGGGCTCGGCCGCTTCAGTGGTGAATAACAGGGAAAGAATAAAATCCGCCAAGCTTGCATTTTGCGTTCATTTCAAGAATGGACCCAAAAATTTTATATATCTTTGTAAAATTTAAATTATCGACCCCAAAACTGCTTGAATTGAGACAAAAACATCCAGATATTTTTTACACTTTGATACAATATGACATGAATGCGCTAAGGTGAGGCGAATTATTGAGTCTAGTTATTGGAGACATTGTAACAATATCTACCCAAACTGCATAACTTGGTCGGAACCTCAAAAAGTTCAGTTGTCTGTCGACACAGCTTTTATCTATTCACTTTAATTTGACCAATATGCAGCGCCTCCCTGTGAAGCAGTATCTTAAGACAAAACCTCGAGACTGGGGAAGAAACGAAGGTCGACACAAGTTCAATATTGGCGCTAACGTGTAAATAGTAATGGCGTTACTGGTAACACGTTACTTTTTTGGTAACATACTAACATACTCGTTACGTTTTAAACTGTAACGTGTAACATACTAACATACTTGTTACATTTTCAAAACTGTAATGTGTAACATACTTATATTACGTATTTACAGCAACGGGTAACATAGTTACGTTGTTCGTTACATATTATTCCAAAAATTATTTTAAAAAAAAATTAAAAAAAATACACTTCAATCTTTTCGTGTTTCTGGGCTTTGAAGTGTTAGATTTGTTTCAGTTTTGTTTACTTTTCTGTGTTTTTTATTGTGAGTATTTGGTAGAACAATAAAAAAGGTACAGTAAATATGTTCAATTTCCGGAGAAACATGTTCCTTGAAACCTTGCGCTTATGCATACCTGTAAAGTCAAAACTGTAAAACGTGTTAATTATCAATTCAAGAACTAACGCAAAAGTAACGTGCATTACTTTTGATCGGTAATGGTAATACATTTCTTTTATTTTGAGGTAACATGGGTTGGTAACGCATTACTTTATTTTGCAAGTAACGAGTGACATATTTTGTTACATTTTTTGTTAACGCCTACAACGCTAAACACAACAGTCAAAGTCCTTCATTTTTTCTCCAGTCTCGGGGTTCTGTTTTAAAATATGTTCAACCATCCCAAGCTTGTTTGAGCCCTAACCTTTTGTTTATTATAATAATAATAATAATAATAATAATAATAATAATAATAATAATAATAATAATAATAATAGCAATAATAATAATAATAATAATATCTTTATTATCTTTGAAAAAATACATGTGTAAGCGTGCTGGCCCACGAAAGCAAAGATGCTTGTATATGGGACCAGGCAGCCAACAAAATACCGTGACATATTGAACACTGGAGAAACAAAACAAACAACAATAATGTAGGAATGTGGGCAACGAATACGCACTAAGTATTTATATGATTATTTTTGCACGAGCATGAGGCACCATTCTCTTACATTCCGTTTTACCGCACGCAAGGATGATAACTTCAGCGAAGACTCTGGCAAACTGTTGAACATTGAACGGACACAGTGGTATTTTAACTTTTTTCCATAATTTGTATCTTGGGGACCTTGACCTCTCTGTACGCCAGAAGTTTCTTTTTTTACCTGTTGTTTAAAAGTTTATTGAAGCAGTATTCTGTATCATCCAGCCGCTTTTCAGTTGTTATCGTATTGATCAGATACGTCAATCGCCATGCGTCGCTACTTTTCTAGCAGTCATTCTTGTCAACCTGTGTTTTAAAAGAGAGGGCCTGCCAAACATTTATGCTGAGCAAATTTTTTTTTATTAACGAAAAGTTAGCAAGTTAGCTTGTTGAAACTACTGCACCACGGATTGGAAGACCATATCGGAGAATAAAAGCCACCCAGCTTGGCATCCTTCGATAGATGAGCTGGCTGGGCTAGCGGAGCAAACTTGGCAGCGCTGGCACCACGTGATGCGGGTGAGAGCACGTGGTGGACGTGGAATGTGCCCAGGAGACTAGCTGCAGCATTAGTGCCACCAGCCATAGCGCAGTTTCTCGTCCACACGGATCGTTGTCGCCATTTCGGGGTAAAATTTTAAGCTTCTTCAAAATGGCCACTGGACCGCCGCCTTAACTGGACGCCGTAGTTGCAGACACACCGCCATCGCGGCAACTCTCATTGAAGCGTATATCTCACGCTCATAATTTGCACGCGCACGGTGACAAAGCTGCGTGAGAGAGTTTTGACTGGCCCCAGCGCTGCGAGGCATTGAAAAAGAAGAGAGGAAGGTTGATCTACAATTATGACTGCAACAAATACGCACAATGAATTTTAAGTGCTCGCCGAATGCTGACGCAGCGTTTTCGATACGAGCTGAGCTGGGTTCACGCCAGACGCTGACAACCTTTGTGTCTCGTACATACTGAAAGAATATGCCCAATGGCGGACTCAGAAGATTGGCGCAGCAGCTGCTAGGTGGTGTGCACTTTTAAAAAGGGTTTAATAAGGTGACCGCCTCTCTCGATCCTTGGGTTAGTTTTAATGTGTTTTCAGCTGTTTGATACTTTCGGCATGCCGAAAGCAATAACCCGGCGCTCAAAGGGTTAAAGACCAGCGGTATGTGAAAATAGCTTGTATCCAAAATATGATGTCAGCATTGTGTTTGTCATTACAGCATATGGAAAGTTGCCCACCACCAAGGTATGTTTATGGCATATTCGAACTGGAGATGTTTCTCCACAGAGAGGAGCGAATGTCATCACATTTTGAGGTCACGTGTGCCACATCACAGATGTCTGCTTGTCCTCCCCACCTCGCAAAGAGCGCGCAAGAAACTCGTCGTGTTACGGATTTTTCTGCCATCCCTGGGACTCCCAGGAAACTCTCACCCCGGAACTAGTTATACTCTTTTCCCCGGCTCCTCGACTCCTTCTGTGCGATTACTCGCATGGATATCTTCTCGTGCTATCCTCTCTTTCGTGACTTTGCTCCTTGCAGGGGTCTGACGTAGCAAGTGAAAACCAGTTTTCCCCGAGGAGAAACATCTCTCGTGCGAATACACCATTAGATCAGCTTCTGTATGTCACTATATTTTTCTTGCTTTACTCTTTCACCACTGCTTGCTTCTGTCCGGTGGCATTCAATGGCCAGTATTTCTTTTTACGTCGAATCGAGGAAAGTATTTTTCTTTAAAAAAATTGTGTCGTGAAGTTCTTGTTGCTTGCACTTTGATGTCCGTAGCCTCTGGCATACATTCATAACCTTCGCTTTATCATTTCAGGTATCACGCCCCACAAAGACCAAAGTAGAATCATGCTGAGAAAACGCATCCTGCAGCAAGCCAGTGAAGCTCTAAGGAGTACCGACCGAGTTTCACGAACAACGCCACGAACTGCATACTTCCGCTTGTTCAAAGGAAGCAAACGCTGGATTCAGTTGTTGGGCGGGATCCTCTTCCTGGTGTATGGTGCTTTTCCGGCCGCATTCTACTTCTCTGGCTGGTTCAGGAGGTTCCTCATCTTCGGTCACTACATCAACTGGCCGCCACTCATCAACTTCAACGACACGGACGCTTACGAACTCCCCTACACTCGCTCCCTCTTCATCGAGTCAGCCGACAACATCGCCCTGGGCACCTGGCATGTCATGCCAAAGAGCGAGTGGCACCGTTGTGCAAATGGGGTGCATCCTGATGCCGAGTTCCAGGACAGCAGACCGGTCATCATCTACTACCACGGACATGCCGAAACTCGTGCGACAGACTACCGAGTTCAGCTGTACAGGCGGCTTTCGCAGAGCATCGTTGATGCCCATGTCATCGCCTTCGACTACCGTGGCTTTGGCGACTCCACGAACGTGATGCCTTCGCGGCATGGCGTTATCCAGGACTCATTGGCCGTCTACGAGTGGGTCAAGCGTAAGGTTCCGAACTCGAGGATCGTCATCTGGGGACATTCCCTTGGGACCGGGGTCGCCATCCAGCTTGGTGAGATCTTTGCGAGGACTGGAGACAACCCGGCGGCCATTGTCCTCGAAGCGCCGTTCAACAGCCTGGTGGAAGCTGCACTGCGGTGGCCTCTGAGCATCCCGTTCCGCTACATACCCGGCACACGGAAAATCCTGGAGCCTCTGCTGGAAGAGGACACCAACTTTGAGTCGGAGCAGAAGGCCGGAACACTGACTGCTCCAGTATTGGTCCTGCATTCTAAGGATGATCCTCTGGTGCCCTACGACCTCGGGAGGAAGTTGTACGAAAGGTTGCAGCGGGACCGCCCTTCCCATCTTCCAGCTGCCGTTTTCTACGACGTTGACAGCAGCGTGGGCCCAGGACACCGTCGGATTTACAAGGATCCAAAGTTCCCTGAGGTGGTGTCTGGGTTCATTAAGAGCTTTGTGAGATGATTGGCGGCATAGACGTACCGTGCATACCAGAGTTAATGGGATCCTGCTTCGTGGTGTGCCCAAGATGAACTGGTTGGAGTCTAGTCTACATGCTAAGATATTGATCACTCTATGGAACTAGTATATATCAATTTGCCATTCCTCTCATTCATTTACGAGTTTGTTGCCAAGTGTTCTTGCATGGCCTTTTCTATTTCTTTAAGTTGTTTTGTGTCAGGTAGTGGTTTAGACGTTAAAGTTACCAAATGTATGAAGTTCATATTATGAGATAATGTTCTTTAGTACTGTATTGTTAGTGCAAAAGGTTCAAGCCAAAACATGCGATATGGGTCCATATACATATTGTTCCTTGATTGCAAGATATGCTATATTTCTGCAACATTTTGTTTGTTGCTCGTTGGAACCTGGTCGGGCTTTATAATGGCAGCTTTTTAAAAATAATTCTGAAACAAAAATAAAGAATGTTTAAACAGACTATCCACTGAACTTAAGCAAAATTTTCTGGAGTACTTTTTGAAGGTTCATCTTTGTCATTGGCTCTAGTGCAGAACTGTATTCATACAATAATTGTGTGCAATTGCTGATTCAAGTTTGGTGACCACTATTTTCAAAAGTTTGCAGCAAGTAGTCTGGTTTAATTTACTGCCGGTTGGATTGAGTAGCACTGGCCAGTCGGTCTGCAAGACTGGAAAATTGTGCTGAAAGACAAATCGAAGGGCTCTATTGTCATAAAAAAAGGAGCATGTGCTTGTTGATGGAATTATCAAGATTTCCAACTAGCTGGAACGCTAGAAACACGTGATAGCCATTTTAAGCTCTGTCACAAGAAGTGCTTGGTGAATCCTTGGGCCATATGTTTGGAAGGATGTACCAGAGGACACTTTACGGTAAAGTGGTTCCCTGCCAACCTATTGCTAAGCCTACTGGTGACTTTATGGTGAAGCCAGCAGTCTAGAGCCAGGACAGATTACAAGGCAAGTTTAACGAATATTTGTATTAAGCTATTCTAGACCAGTGTTTCTCACAGTCTCACAGTTTGTAATCATTGTCTCTGAGTTTCATCCACACCACGGACACTACTTGCGCAGACTGATGTCGCAGTTGTGCAGGCGTCGTCGAATGTAGACACCAAAAGCTGTGAAGAGTGCCGAGAAGACGACATTTGCGCCTGGCAGTAGAGGATCACGTGACATCTCATACCACGGCCGTGTTCCAAACTTTACTCGATCTTACTTTCCGCTTCCAGAGTTTTTCAATCGGCGTTGTCACGTGACACGAGCCGCCGGAGTAACTCGGATCCATTTCGGTAAGATTTGCAACACTGCCCACGCGATAGCCATGTTCTTGACGGCCCGAGGCCAATTAATGTTTGCGAAAATTGCGGACGGAGCCGAAGTTTCGGTTTCGATATCTGCTGGAGTTGAAAATGATTTAACGATATATATATCATTTTTCGCGAAGCAACTAAGGTAATGTCTTTTACTAGTGCTTTTCAATGCGAAATCACTCATTATCTCGAAATCCTCCGCTCGCGACAAATCCAGAAACGGAGCTTCTCATTCTGCTACAACGCCCTAAGCACAGGAAAAGAAGATATCGCATTCCGATTCGTCTGCTAATCTGTAACAATAAGCGACCAACGTTTAGTCGAGCATCAACGGGGACCTCCCCGACCGCAACGCGATCCCCGCAACGTTCCGCCGGGCGCGGGGGACACGGGACAAGCACTTCCACGTTTTCCCTTTTTTTCCGGCAATTTTTTTTTTTTTTTTAGTTTTTTTCTTTACCTTATTTTTTTCTCTGCTTGCCAGTGTGAAACACCGGGTCGCGGGGTATGCCAAAAAGGACTTTGTTCTCACATTATAGACCAGAAGACAAATACACGAAATGTGCAGAAAGATAGAGATAATAAATGCTGTTCTATATAATCCCATGCAAAGCACCTTACTGCAAAAAAAGAAATACATAGAGATGCATGCAATGATGTTCCTAATTACACATAATAGCGCGAAGGACAGACGAGTATTATTATAATCCTAACATAAATCATATTTGGGCATCGGCTTGTACGAGCTCGAAACTGCCTAGGGAAGGTAGTGTTATGTTTGGTTTTACGTGCACTTGTTTTGGACCCTCACTTTACAACTGTGTGCTTTGTAAGTCCTGTGTTCTAACCTTTTTAGTAGGCTGCCGAATATCATCGCTATACAGCAGTTTTACAAATTGGACGTGTACTTTTGCTAGTGTTGCGAACATCGCAATTCACCAGGACACCGATCTGTTTAATGCAAGGAGGTTAGAAGTACTAGGAGGGGGCACGTTGCAATATTGGTGAAGCCTATTCATAAAAAGTTTAAACGATTTCGTGCCCAGCGTGACCGCAGATCTCTCTGGCGATCGTTGCGCGTGACACGTGTGAGATGGATGGTTGATTATAGAAGGACTCCTTGCATGCTTGCGCGCGCTCCGTCCGGTAGGTTTTATCAGATCGAGGGCTAGACTGTGGTGTATTCTAGTAGCCTATAGCAAGACGAAGGCTAGCTACGGTCACGTGATGTGGTCACGTTGGCATGGTAAGTGAGAAGAGTAAGGAGGAAAATGAGAAAGAGGCGAGACGGTCAAGGGAACATGGCTTGTGGAGGCTACGCGGCCGACGTCATGCCCTCTCCTATCCTTCTATTCTCCATGGTTTAATGTAAGTTGCAGGTGACGTCATCGCACTATACGCTCGTGGCCATTGCGATTTGTTCTTGCTGAAAAAAAAAAAATCAAATCTGGTGGTGCAAAATGCACGCTGCAGAAGGTTCACGCTCAGTGCAAGTCATGTATTCGAGAGACAAATTATTTTTGCGTGGTGCAGCGTCGTGAGGAATGGCGCGAGCGTCTGACACCCCGAAAACACGCTTTCTGGCAGGAGTGCTTTTGCAAACAAAGTAGTTTACGGGGCCAGCCTTACTGGTATGTGCCCAATAGACCGATCTCACCAACTAGTTTGAGTACGCCACCGCTGTCGCCATGCATCATGGGAACTGTAGTTTTTCTGCACGCGCAAGAACCAAGCTGGAGGTCTGCGCGAGCAAAGCACGAGGCGACACGAGCTGCCTCGTTCACGGGCGCCTACCTCTTTTGAACTACAGTTATGGCGGCGTCACGCATGTGTGGAACGCTTAGTGATCTCGGTCTATTGATACGGGCAGTGGAACCTTCACACTAGTATGTTTTTAAAGCAACCTCCCCTTTTATCTTTTTGTTGCTCCTCCAGAGAGATATGTTTCATTTCCGAGGGACTCCCTCCTTCATTTGGGGGTGTTAATTCGACAATTATATTTGTGCCACTTGTTAACAGTAATCCTTCATTGCTTTTATTTTGAACCCAAAAACTCTGAAATTTGAACAAGGTACGGTGTGAGAGCAGCTGTCCCTGTGAATCTTTCTTTTCAGGTGTCCCTCCCGTACACACTTGTAGTCCCATTTAGTCCTTTCAATGCTTTTATTCTCGGGGGACAACGTTCTGATGCAGTTCAGCGAAAACGAAAACATGTTTGGGTGCCTCAGGAATGTGTACATGTAAAATGTGTCGTGGAACAACTTTTTGTACTTTCAGTAAATACCGCTAAGAACTAATACCTGACGTTAATAACTTGCGAAAACACCCATTAGTTTTCTTCCTTGCGGAATGGCAGAAAAAAAATTACCTTGCAATTAGAATAGAATAGAATAGTTTATTTCAGACATACATGTGTGATACATATGTCTGGGGGGCTGCAGCAAAAGAAGGCAAAAAAGCCCTCTGACGAGGCCGCTACCCCCCCCCCCCCCCCCCCCCCTCCCCCTCCCCTGCCCATAGCAGTCAACAGAGACAGCATACAATAATTTAGCAACAAGATCGAAATAAACATAGGCTTCAGTAAACCATTCCAATCAATATCATCAATATAAACATAAGCAATGCGTCATAAAAAAAAACTAATAAAAAAATCATGAAACAAAAACCAGAGAAAACTATTCATTGACATTAAAGGGACACTGACACCCCCCAAAAAAATGTTTTTATTTTTTGCCAGGCGCTTCATTATGGTGTCGGAGGACTACCCAATTAATATTTTGCAACAGAGTAGCGTATTTCTTTAATAAAGCCAAAAGACGCAACTGCTCGAAACCGAAACCGAAACCCGACGGCAGTCAGAGAAGTGGAGAGAAGAGTGTGACTGGCGGAAGTCACGTGGCTACACCCGACCGTGCGTTTTTTGTTTTGTTTTTTTTCTCCTCTTCGGTAGCAGACGACACCTGACGACACGACATGCGGCGTGCGATGCGGCGTGCGGGAACTGCTTGCCGTGCGATTCTTTTGCAGTTATGTTTGTTCCGCTCGTTGTTATGTACTCCAAGATGAGTTGTTTTGTACATTGAGGAGTTGGAGATGAGTAGTGAGTGCCCGTGGTGAATTTCCATGATCGGCTCCGAAAAGAATAAACCAAAGATGTTGCGTGAAGAGCTGGCTCACATGTCCTGCATCCGAAAAAAAGTGGCATTGTCGAAAGATCAACGGTATCGGGACCAATGGCTGGCTGCAATTCCTGTAGAACATATACGGGCACCTCGGAAAGCGGACGCTACCTGATTTATATGCTCCTCGCATTTTGTGGAAAGTGATTACATTGAGTTCGCAGGTGCCAAAACGGAAATCCCATACCGTTTAATTCAGCGAAGTATCGTCCACAACATTTGTTTGTTATTTTTCTGTTTGTTTCTTCAGTGATGATTGTAAAAAAAAAGATATGTAAACATCAAAAATTGCTTGCAAAAAAAAAAAAAAAAAAAAAATCCACGGGGGATCGAACCCGGTCCTACGGCGTGTGAAGCGGACGTCTTTCCCACTGAGCTACTGGGCCATTTCGTTTCTGGTGGATCTCTTTCCTTAGTAATAATTCAGCCGGTAAACTGTAAGTTTGAAAGTTTGCTGTCGAGTTTTCTCCAGCAAAAGCACTCCCGGGTCGAAGTCGGGAAGCACCACGCTTTGGGGACATTCGCACCTAGGAAAGAAATCGTACGCGTGCATATTCAACTCGAAGTAGACACGTCGTGCTTGACGTTTGCGCGAGCGATGTCTTCAGCCACGAGAAGGGAGCGACGGCTCGGCGACGTCTTCGTGCAAATCGGCTTGGTGGCCGGGCGTGTCGTACGGGATGAATACCAATTCTTTTGATCAGTCCCAAATTTCTCTTTTAACGGTAGACAGAATTCGCCGGTACCGCGAACGACAGTTCTGAAATAGAGGTCCCACGCCCGTCGTCCGCTGCCATCGCCGTCCCCGCGAGTCCCACGATACGCGAAACGACGAACGCACAGAATGCTTCCGGTTGTCTGTGGAACTTTTTTTTTCAATCAACGTATTTACAGCTTTTTAGAAGCCACAAAAAATGGGTTTCATGTTTTTTTCTATTTTTAATATTGAGTGTGTGCCTTCAGTGACCAACGACTTTGATTAAATTTGGTGGTCGCATCGATACCTTAGAAAACGGCCCGTGTTTGCGAAAAAGAGAGTGAGCGAGACTCGAACCGGCCAATTCTTGATCGGTGGTTTTCGGGCGGAAAGAAACCGAATTTCGAGCCGCAAATTCTGTTCTGGGTAGTTGAGCCCTCATATGTCACGTACAACTAACAACCTCGGCGAGCATAAACACCCTGTCAGTGTCCCTTTAACATCGTCATTATCAACAAAATCATCCAACGCACGTCTGATATTAACACATCACAACACTTCATAACACCATGAAAGAAGGACATATTAAAGGCACTATATTTGCAACAAGAACACATAAAAGCCACATTAAATAATCTAAGGTAGGCGATCAGCTTCAAGGAAATATGCTCTAACTTTTTTCCTGAACGGGTGGATTGTTCTACACTGCTGTGCTATTTGCACAATGCTTAGGTGTTTATTTAGTAGGTTAGGAATTTGGTAATCTAGTTTTTGAGTTCCATAGTTAGTTC